GGAAAGTTATTGAAGGTTGGTTTGAAGGTTCAGATCTGGAATTGGTTGATGTTGCGATGAAGTTTGAAGAGATTGATTCATGGAGTTCGTGAAAATGTTTGCGATGATGATTGTTTGTTCATGGCAAAAGGCTGAGGTCGGTGAAGCTTCAGATCTGGGTTTGTGTTTTGATTGAAAAAGGTTTGGAGATTGTTGTGGTTGGGTTTTCCGGAAAATCGTTTGAAGGTTTGAATAATTTCTGGGAAGATTGGTATGAACATGAAGAACATTGATGAATTTGTATGAATCTCAGGAATATATGAGGAAGAACGGATGAACATGTTCTTGAGTTTCTGGAAAAACGTTGAACACGTATGAAGATTTCTGGGAATTAAGATGAACACGGATGAATGCTCTTGAGTTTCTGAAAAAAGATTGATGAACGTATGAAGAACACATGAGTTTCTGGGAAAATTGTTTGAGTGGTGATGAATGTGTTCATGAAATCTGGAAAGGATGCTGATTTCGGCGAGCTTTCCGGCGTAAATCCGGTGAGAGTTTGATCCGAGTGGGTTTCTCCGGCAAGGTGTTCCGGCGTTTGCATGGCCGGCGGTGAGGTGGCGTCCTTGGGGTTAGGGTTTTAGTGGCTCAAGGGAGGGGCGGCTGACCTAGGGTTAGGGTTTCAGTCCCCAAGGAAGGGGGACAATGAATAGTGCACCTATATATAGGAAAGTGACACGTGGCAGTTGGCTCTAATGACTGATAATTAAATTAATTAATATTAATGTGAAAAGCTAACTCAATTAATTAAACAATAACTAATTAGAATCCTACAACTAATATTAATAATTAGAATCCTACAACTAATATTAATAAAATAAAACCTAATTAAATACTCTAAACTTAAATAACTAATAAATAAAAGCTGGTTTAATTAAGAACAAATTAATTCTAAAAAAAAGTAAAATAAAATCTATATTAAATTAATAACAATTCTAATATTAATTAACAAATTAATCAATCTAACTAATAATCTAAATTAAATGAAAACTATAATTAATCTAAACTAAAAACAAAATTAAATTAGTAAAACTAATTAATTAAAATCCTAATAAAATATTTAAAAACTAAAAAATAAAATCTATTCCTATTTTTAAATGATAAAAACTATTTTCTATTTAAATAAAACAAATAAATTCTAATTAAAAACTATCTTCTAAAACAAAATATTCTAAAAAATTAAATAAAATATATATTAAATTATCAAAATTCTAAAATAAAAACCTATTTAAAATAAAAATCTAAAATTAAATTCTATGCTAAAACTAAATAAAATAAGTAAAATAAAACAGTAAAAATAAAAACAGAAAGATCGGGTGAACACCGAAATGTCACCGAAAATACCAGCACGGACTGGACCACTAGAAAGAGCAACCTCCGCTCGATTCCGAAAGAAAACTCCCTATTTAAATTGGTTTGAATCGCCTGAAACGCGAGAGAATGGGCTGTAATCCCGATAATTCGTCCTGACTGACAAAATGCACCGTATGCGATAAATGATATGCAAATGCAAATGAAATGAGACATAAGCCCAAATTGCGAGAAACGGTTGGTCAAATTTTGGGGTGCAACAATAGGAAAACATTCAGTGTACAAGAAACAATGGACCATAATGAGGGGAGGCCCAATTTATCCTATGCCGTCAGACTATACAGATGTTGGTGTGATTGTGGCAAGTATCAGGCCTTTCGTGTGTTAGAACACAGATTGGTTCTTAATAATATCTCTTTGTTTTGATGATAACTCTTAGGAAATTTTATATTTAAGAATTATATACTCTAAAAGTTGCTTGTGAGTTTTACTGCAAATTGAAATGAAATTAACATTCCAGAAGCAAATCTGAATTGTATACAAGAAGTTATCTAGACTCTGAAGCGCCAGATACACTCATTAGAAGATTCTGATTGCTGTTTACAGAAGATCCTGAGCGTAGTCTCCAGAAGGATCTGAAGCAAGAAGCTCCAGAAGATTCTGAAGCTAGTCAGAAGCATCTGAAGCTAAGAAGAATATTATATGAAGAGTTTCTCAAAGCATAGTTTCTACAGAAGTTTCTGAAAGTACTAACGCTGCCAAGTACTGAAGTTCTGTGTCAAATATGCTCTGATGATCAACACGCTGAAAGCACACATGCTGCAGAAGACTCTAATACAGCAAAGTTCTGAACATCATTAGAAGACTCTGACTCAATCAGATTCTGAAGAACTTGTTGAAAACTGAAGAAGAAATATTCAAAGATTATATCCGTTGGAGTAAATCAAACGTCTCTTTCCTTATTTGTGCTAGACACAAGAACACGGACAAAAAGGATTTTTCTGTGTTTTCTACTTCTAGGAAAGGTCACTTGATGTGAAGACAAAAAGGGTCAGACCTTTTTGGGACACTCTTCTCAATGTTCAGCTTCCTTAGATCAGCTGCCTATAAAAGGAAGACTCCACCAAATTCTTCAATCACACAATTTGCTGAAAAGAAATCATAATATTCAAAGCTCTCATTCTTTCATATTCATTCTTAGAATTATTTGTACTTAAACTTAAGAGAAAAATCACTGTTGTGATAAAAGCTTTTTAGAAGCATTCATACTCTTGTATTTGATTTACATTGATTGTAAAGGTTTTTCCTTAAGAGGATTCAGTTGGAATCAGTAGCTCTTGAGAAGACTAAGAACAGTTGTTCTTAGGTGTTACTATTGTAATCTGTTTGATTAAATAGTGGATTAAGTCCTTGTTGAGGAAGGCAAATCACTCTAGGAAGGGTGGACTGGAGTAGTTGATTTCAACGAACCAGGATAAAAATAATTGTGTTAGTATTTTTAAAGTCTTAATCTTTCATACTTATTCAACCCCCCCTTCTAAGTATTATCTCACCTTCACCGTGTACCTTGCTCACATGTCATTGCGGCATGCGCACATGCTCGTCAGGATGCTTATGGCTATCTATCTGATGTTTATAAGGCGATTAATGTTATGAACGTATACAACGAAGGCTTTGCAGTGCTACCAATGGAGGATTATTGGCCTCCATACCGAGGTGACATAGTTTGGCACAACGATGATATGAGAAGAAAGAAAAAGAGGCGCCCAAACAGTAAGCGTATAAAAACCGAAATGGATACGGGTGATAATATGATAAGATTGTGCAGTATATTTCGTCAGCCCGAACACAACCGAAAAAAATGTCTCAATGTCGGAGGCACATCTGCATCATGATTTACCTTATCATTTCATTTGTTGTAACCAAATATTTTCATATATTGATAAGTCTTTGTTACAACGGTCTTAACAACAAATAAGACTAACAACACACAACACATACTAATTTCATAAAACATAAAACATTAACTAGGTGATTACGACATTCCTAACTGATTTCAACAATCAAACTAATTTCATTTGGTCCAAACATGACTTCCCTCACATCTTTGTCTGTCTTAAGACGAACTCATCCACGCAATCGATCAAGTCTCGATACTACATATCTTTTCCCCTTTCACCAATGTCTCCTTCCAACCACTGATTGAGCTTCCTCTTAAGTTGATTGAAACATTGTATGTTCCAAAACAACATGTCCATTAGAGACTTCTCTCTCGAATAGACGACTTTTCCCCACCGGCGACGATACATGTTATTAGCAGAACAAAGCTATCAGATGAAATGTGGAAGTAAATGATCAGAGCACCTCTATTTATAGAAAAAAAATTTCAAAATAAAAGGGATTTTCAGATGAATTGGCGACACCCTTGTAAGTTAAACACCAAGTGACCAATTGGATTGGAGACTGCATGAGGAGTCTCCAATTCAATTGGCGACTCCTTTATAGCCTTAACAAGGTGTCGTCAATCCATCTGGCACCCTTGTGTAATCTCAAACCCTAACTGAGATACTTTGGAAATAATTTTAAAAGGTGAGTTATTTTGCGATTTTTTTTTTAAGTTGAGTTATTTGGGTAAAAAAATTCGAGAAATGTAATGGACATAATAGTGGATAATAAGGAAAATTCAGTTACAACAAAATTGGATGAGAGCAAATAATTATTCAACCAATTCTCTCTCGAATAGACAACTTTTCTCCACCGAAGACGATACATGTTATTAGCAGAATAAAAATATCAGATGAAATGTGAAAGTAAATGATCGGCGACACCGTTGTAAGTTCAACACCAAGTCGCCAATTGGATTGGAGACTGCATGAGGAGTCTCGAATCCAATTGGCGACTCCCTTATAGCCTTAACAAGGTGTCGCCAATCCATATGGCACCCTTGTGTAATCTCAAACCCTAACTGGGATATTTTAGAAATAATTTTAAAAAGCGAGTTATTTTGGAAAATTTTTTTTTTAAAAGTTGAGTTATTTGGATAAAAACTTCGAGAAATGTAATGGACATAATAGTGGATAACAAGGAAAATTCAGTTACAACAAATTCGGATGAGAGCAAATAATTATTCAACCAATTCAGCTAACAATCAATCCTCATATCATTATACAAGAATCTCAATCTATAAATTTCGATAAATATCAGTATGTTACAATAACTGCAGCACGGCCAATAAGTTCGTACTACTATACATTTTTGTGGCCTCTAAAATACATGATATACAATTCACATACCAGAAAGGAATTCATGAATCACTAAGGTCTGCAGTATAGCTCTTACTTCACAGCTCAACCAAAATAAAATTTAAAAAAAAAAAAAAAAAGACAATATGGTGTTACAAAGCTCTCTCTTTCTCTCTCCCCCTATTTCATTAGTGTGATAAATCATGCAGCAAGGTGGCTAGCAACAACTATAACCCAATAGTAGTAAAATAACTTCATCCGTGGACTTTTCCTATTACTCCTATTATTTTTACCTTTTCCTATTGTATTTTCCTCATTTTCTCATATTGTGTTGGCAATGCTCTTGAAAGAGTGCACAGACCAAAGGGGAACCCAAAATATCAAATAAGATATGTAAGAATGTCGAAATCAATTTATCCGTGTACTGTTCCTTCTTCCCCACCACTTTTTCTTCATTTTCTCAATTGCACCATCTTCAGTTCCAAGTTTATTTATAATCAACTTTGTTTCACGCAATCTTGCCGTGTAATCCCTTTTCCAAGCTTCAAACATCTGTTTTAACCTTCTGAGTTCTTGATCTGGGTTCAAACTTGCTTCTACTTGACCAGATTTCACCTCAACCAAGAACTTGGCATCATCAGCAAATACTTGACTCCTTTGCTCAAATTCTTCAGCAAGCCGGCTTATTACACTCAAACTAGCACTCGTCGATCTTGTCCCGTTGCTTTCTTGGCGCCTGTGATTACTTCCCCCATCCCAACTGTAATCACGCTCATCGCTTGTATTATTAACAGATGCGTCTGAATTTCTTTCAGAGTCGTCAATAGCAAGGCTCTTCTTAGCAATGGAGAGGCTAGATTGAAGGGATCTCATTTGTTTCTGCCACACTTCTTCCATGGATTGCATCTTCGACTCATACTCAGACCATCTGCTCTCATATTGTTGGATACGTTGGTTAAGGATGTCATTTTCCTCATCTTTCTCTCTCAAGGCAGCTTCAGCCTTAAGTACCCGGCGCTGCAATTCAGCCAGAAATGATGACTTGACCAGAATCTCATCTGATTCTTTTGTCTGTTTTGGAGTTCATGTTTGTAAGTATCACGAAGATGAAGCTTCTAAAAGCAGAATATAAGAAATTTCCTATTGTATAAAAGAAAGGTTTAATATTAAATAGTTTTTGAAGTGGCAGAAAAAGAATACCTTTATGTCCCCATATTTCAAAAATCCAATATCCCCTGAGCATCTTCGGACCAACCATCCACGAATGACTGCAAAGAGTAGCACGACAAAAATTACGAAAATTTACCACATATAGTCATTTTATGCATAATTCTCTTGTATTGCACTAACAATAAAATTTGAAATGCAAAGAACTTTGTGCGATACCGATGCATACTTATATCCATCTAACATTTTCACATCAAGGTAGTAAATCAATTTTCTTTTAAAAAGATGTCACAGATTAAATCAATTTTTTTTATAGAAAAAAGTGTCTAGTTTTTGGGAGCCTAATATGAGCTGATACTTCATTTTTCTTCTCGTATTGTACTTGAAGATACTGTGATAAGCTCCAATACCTTGTCGGTACACTTCGGTGATAAGCTCCAATACCTTGTCAGTACACTTCGGTGCAATATCAGAGATCAACATCTTTTAAGTAAATAAAAAAATACAGGTGCCTGACATGCAATTGACACTTTTGACTCATACTCTTGATTACTCCTCGCATCTCACGTACATACTTTATGTTCAGTGTTGATACTCTTGCTCGTTAGTTGCAACAAATGCAATTTATATCACTGCTTCATTCGTTAAGCTAATCCCCATTTTCCTATTTATATGTTAATTACGAAGATGCAATTTATATAACATTTCTTCACCTATATTAAAACTTTCATCACTATTCTTGGCCACTGCAATAATATTTTCATTATATTTTGTGAATTATTGTATTTACTTATATATGTGTCTTCAATCGTATCCTGTATTTCTCAAGTACCAGCATATCATGGTGTTAGATGTGTATTGTATAATAACAGCAGCTTCGGTGATAAGCTCTTATTGTGTCAGGCATCATAGTAGTAAGCTCTAATTCAAACATCCAAAATAAATAAACAATGGTATTATGAATCTTGGCATCTACAAAATATAAATTCTAACCTGATTGTATGACAATTGTAGCATCTTTAACAATCTGAACTTTGTTTCTTACAAAAACTGCTTTTATCTGCTTCTGTATAATAACAGCAGCTTTATGTCTCTGAAGCAAAGCAGCATATGCCTTTCTTGTTCTCTCTCCCCGAATAACTGCATGCATAGATAATAATATGTTTCCATTACATTAAGACTGTCTTAAAGGCTGAAAGAATGAGGCAGAGAAAAGGGAAATACATGACTGCAAAGTAGAGATTCCTCCTTGAAGCTTCTTGAGAGAATGACGAACTTGGTAACCCCTAAAACAACTTTGCACACGTAATATGCCATGAAGGGTACGATTTCTAGTATCTTCAAGCACACCAATCTGAAATGTGGTCAAAGCAGCATAAATTCAAAATAAACAAAAATCATGATAGCATAATACAATGGTCAAAAAGTACATGAATATAATAAAAAGTTTTATGGATCAAAGAAAATTATTTGTATTTGTTGAAATTGGAAATTTAATAGGATTGATGTTCCACTTTCCAGGTTGCTTAGGTTCATTTTATAGTAGTAGAATAGGTTCAATGAAACTTAGGATAGCATGTTAGCACATAATTATTCATAGTAAATTGAATTGAACATTATTTTCTTTGTATATTTACTGTTACATAAATATATCATTCTGCGGAGTTCTTTAGGAAGTCAGAAAAAAATTCATAATTTTCATATTATAAAAAATTACCTGCCCTGTTCGGAAAAATAATTTTGTGTAGCCAACTTGATACATCTCAGGCAAAATATTAAATTGATGAAGAATTGAAACTGAAACACTAAGTGGATCCTGAGATGCAGCAGTATCAAGGAGAAGAAAGCCATATCTGATTCACCACAACCATCCAATAAGAAAAAGGTTAGAGTTAGATATAAGAAAACTACCAGGGAAGAGGGGATGGGGTGTAGGTGGCAGAAGTAACTGAAAGGATATGAATCATCAGTTACTTTCTGTTGTATACCTTCTGGCAAACCTTTGGTGAGTCATTCTTGTCGGAAAGCCGGATCTTGATATTCGAACCACTTCCAGCACCCCACAGCATCTCAGCTGTTGCAGCACAAGCCCTTGTTCATATGATTCAGGTGATTGGAGATTATTGGGTTTAATGCAGCGAATAAAATGTGGAGTTGTGCTCTCTAAGCGTTGCATCAGTTGGAACAACTGACCCTGCAAGCAAATGGAGGAAAAGTTAGATAACGTATATAGCTTTCATATGACACATGGTTTAATACATTGGAATTTTTACTCTATACTCTATCTTGCAATACCCCACAAAATTAAATTTTTTGCATCTGTATTGTTTCCTACTTTGATAACCTAAACCAAGGTACACAATATTTATTTGGTTTAAACTGTGACTTTTCATTACTAACTAATTTGAAACATCTTGGTATAGGCCATATCACCAGTATGCTAATATTTTCCACAAGTGCAATATTTTTGCATTGTTTGATCAAGATAAATACTATCAATAAAATAACAAAATATAGGATATCATGATTTTAGTTTGCCAAAGTTTTAGACCATTTTATGATACTTGATGTTTTCGATCACCTCATGATGAAACTGATATACCTTGAATTTTGTTGCAACACTTAGCTTTTGGGAATCTGCCCCACCTGACTTGTGTAAAGGGCCACTTACTGGCCTTTCAGACTGTGTAAGCATATGAGATGCAAATATTTGAGGAAGATGACATGTGCATGAGGATAGAAGTTGGATGGAATCCAAGTGCAATAGGTCCCTATTCTTCTCCAGAAACCCAGTTGTATCATATGTGACCTAAGGAAATGATCAAAAAGAACTATCAAACAACGGTCAGGTAGGATGAGCAAATTTGAATCAACAAGCCACCCTGTACTTTAAGACTAAAGATAGTCTTTTGGAGTTATTAAAATATTCAGCACGAAATTTCAATTAAATCTGTAGTTCACTATGCTCCGTGAAAATGTCAAACTATTACCTCCCCGGCATAATGACACACAGAAAAGGCTTGGTCTCTTTCTCCTTTGAAACAAGACTTGGAATGTAAATGCTGTTTAAGCTTGTTGGCAAATGTCAAATCTGTGCCATTTGGGAAAGTGGACTCTTCATCTAACAGGGATAATAACCCCAATGGCCTCTGCAAATATGTATCAAAAGTCAAATTCAACACTAGAATTTTTAATCTCTAATCATTATGTCATAGTTTTCACGTCTAGGAATATAAGTGTTGTTATCACAACAAACTCTTCCATTTATGTAGTTACTAATGTACCGCAGTACCTCACTCAGTTACAAACTGTTAGAGCTGGTGTAACTGCATTTAACTGTGTTAGACAGTTAGTTGCAGTTAGTTACTGTTAAGAGTACAGTTACAAAGGCTGGGCTATTGTACGCCTATAGAAAGCTCATGTGAGCTTATTTATTAAAATCTATTATCATATACGCTCTCCTCCTTCAATAACTACCAACAACAATTTAAAAGATCAGCCACCATTTTCTCTTTGCAACTATTCAATTACAAGCACGCTAAAGATTGTGCAGCAAAGGGGTCAGGGGAACAATGAAGTTTTGTACCTTCTCAAAAAGATTAAGGCAGTCTTGATTGTCTTCAAATTCAACTTTAGCCCAGTCAATGCCATCTTGAATATATTCCTGATACAATCAACGAATAAATACAAGAAAATGTTTGGCTTCCCCAAGTTGGTATTTATTGTATTTATTATATTCTCTTTTTTAAGATATGAAGGCGTTCGATACTTGCTTAGAACCTTCAGTTTATGTGGGATGCATACCTCCTGTTCTAACTTGAATAAGTGACGATTGAAGTGTTGTTGCAATCTTTCATTTGCATAATTTATGCAGAATTGCTCAAAACTGTTCCTCTGCAGAGATATGCAGTGGCATCAAAGAGCCAAAATACTTTTAAGTTAAACAGGAAAAGGATAGTCAGATAAATACAAAGAAAGAATGAGATATGGTTTAATATAGACATACGTTAAATGATTCAAAGCCGTATATATCTAGAATACTGATTGATCTGCCAGTACGTCTTTTGCCAACAGCAAGTGATTTATTTATTTGATCAACCAACCAATCAAACAGGCATGAATATATAGACTTTGCCAAAGCATCTCTTGTATCAATTGCCTATAAGACAAAATATAATATGTTAGATATTGACAAAGATCATATCCACCATTTGGCATTTTACAAAGCGACTGAGGTCTAACCACTCTATTCGGTAGTCTAACCACTCTATTTGATGAATATGCCAACACAGTATTATATGACTTAGAATATAGAATATAGAATATATAAACCATCACCATCACCACCCCCAAACCAAAAAATATGTTAAGCTGTTCGGTATTCAAACTCTTTCAGAGGTAGCCATAATATTTTTTTTTCTTTTTAGCAAGTATAATTGGTTTTTCAAAATTATTGAAAGTATTGAATCCCAGTTATACAGGAACTTCAGAAAGAAATCACACAAATCACAAATTAGTACAAATGCCGAGACCCTTAACAGTTAACATGGTCTTTTACATGTACCCAATAGGGATGGGCTTCTTCATACAAGACGGATGCACCCATGACCATTCACATTTAAATGTTGCATCCAAAGAAGAAAAAGAACGTGTGACAGTGTTCATTACCGGCTAATTTTATTTTATTTCCTTTTACTTGTAATATATGCATAAAGGGATGCATTACATCCATGTTCCAAAGATACCCCCTTTAGTAACTAGAAGGTTATAATTTTTCCATCTATAACTTTTGAGAAATGTAAACATATAACACAAGCCATTTTACCTGTGATAATGTCAACTTCTGGACGATCTTATCATTACCAACTTTCATGTTGCGAGTTGATAGAGTCAACTTGAGATCTTCTAGGTCACAGCCAATCAATTCGGTGACGTGTAACAAACCTTTAGAAGTCAGAAAAAGATTCAATTGAAGGGAGGTAATGAATAACTTGAAAAGCTTGAAGGCAACAAAAATATATTCAAAACAGATATACTAAATATTAGGTATTTAATACACCATATTTAACTTATAGTTAAAACTCGAACATAAAGCCATTTTCCCAGTACCATATGTAAAGTATAGCTATCAGATGACAATGAAAATGAGCCACAGTTGCAGCAAAATTCTTAAAGGCACAAGTGAAAGCTCGAGAATTGTTTGATAATTTATGTGAAACACACTCCCTCATGCAAAATTCTTAAAGGCTTAAGTGAAAGCTCGAGAATTGTTTGATAATTTATGTGAAACACACTCCCACATGCATGACTCTTGCAACTTGAAGTGTGGACAATACAAAGATCCAGCCTATCTTGTGCTGAAATTCAAAATTTATTTAGAGGAACGGGAATGACAAGGACCAAACTCTTAATATGAGATCACAGAGGCTTTAAATTATGTTGAAATCGCATGATTTAGGTAGGGAAGGAGGAAAGGAAAGAGAGAAAATACACTCTAAATAGAAATACATCAGTCATCACTCATCAGTGATATTGTGTGTGATGATGTCATAATGATATAGATTTGTTATGATACCAGATTTATATATTATGGAACCTACGCTTTAGTTTATTTCTCACAAGCTTACGAAGATGGTTAGGCGAACAACTTAATTAAGCCTTTATTCAATGAACATTTATCATAAAGCTTGTATGAATATTATACAATTGAAGAGGAAATCACGGTAAACTTAGTATAATATGTAATTTTAAAAGTTTGTTGTACTTGTTTTTTCTTGCCTAGCTGATTAAGAAAGTAAGCTTTTAAGAAAATTGATCATTGACAATTCATTTCACCAGTCAAGCCATGCTTATTGGAACAAGTCCAGGCATGTTATAATATATTAGATATAAATTTGCATGCAGGCAACATAAGATCCAGAGTATATGTTAAAACTTAAAACAAGTGTCTTAATAGTAATTAGGAACTCATCACGCATGAAAAAAACATTCATTCAGTAGAGGTTCTGGAAGTTTCTTACTCTCATTTTCTACTGCTTGAACATGGTCTTCATTATCAATCACAGTAAATGATATGTTCCCTAGCCATAATACAGCAGCAAGCATAGCAAATACAGTCTCTTGGTCTTCTTTACTGATGTGGACAACATCAAGAGCTTCCTGTCAATAGTGAGAAAAAGGTTATTAATCATGTCAAAGTATCATTTCAAACTCAATCAGTCAATAAAAGCATTGATAAGAACAATAAGTAAAGTCTCTATCTACAAAAGGTAAATTAGCTTTAAACAACAAAAACAAATGTACCATGACTATGCGAAACTCTTCAGCATCGTTAACGCCAGTAATTGAATAACAATTACTCAGCTTCAAATATTTATAATCTTCTGCATTTTTTAGTTTGAGCTTCTCTGAACAAATAAATCAAACATCAAATAATCAATGAGAAGCAAGTCAAATAAACAAGAACAGAGAACATTAAACGTTACAGATAAGAAAAATACAAATATACAGAGCTTATGGAACGTATTGTTCCTGTTGAAGTTGTGGGATTTCAGATTTTAGATCAAATGAGGAGAGAGTCAATATTCACCCGCGAAAATCCCGCGATTCTATTCTATTTCATTTTCTATTTTATTAAAAATATATATCTTATTGTATATTATTTATTTATTTTCGGTTCCATATTTTTCAATCGATTTATTTGCGAGGAGCCGTATGAGGTGAAAATCTCATGTACAGTTCTGTAATAGAGATGGAATTGAGAAATAACCATCAACTATAACCCAAAAAGAACGAGATTCCGCAAACATCATAGATGGAAATTAAAAGGAAACGCCTCTCACGGTAATAAAATTTGCTTCGGAAAATACGCAGTTTTGAATATTATTGATAATAACTTGATAGTAGCATCATATAAAGACTAAATACTAATTTCTATTTTAAGTAATAGTCATGCAAAAAATGTACACATTAATTACTACAATCGTTTCTTAATATATGTGAAAAGTGAGAAAGGGGCTTGTAAAAAGGGAAAGGGGAGTAATAAGTAAGGGATGTGAAAATTATTCCTAAGAGATAATCTAAGACATGCTAAGATTGAAATCTGATCCTGGGAGATAAACCAAGATATTCATTCTATCATAATATTATTAGATATTTTATTTTCTAACAGTTCCAAATTTCGTGTAATCTTATTAATTTGTGAGTTTATGTGATTAGTATCAATTATAAATCAAAGTCAAAGTTCCTTTGTTGGTTCAGAGCACGATGGTATTGAATTGAGTAAAGCCCTGATTGAAAAGGTAAAACTTAATGATTCCAGTAAAATCCACAGGTCTTCTCTCTACATGTCCAAACCACCTAGACCTATTTTCCACCACTTTTTCTACTATAGGAGTTACTCCAACACCCTTACTAATATTATCATTTCTAATCTTATCTCGTCTAGTCTTACCACACATCCAACACAACATTCTCGTCAACTAACCCAGATAAAAGAGTGTAAATGTTAGATCTATGAGACAAGTTTTCTTGAAAATCGTTCTTTGCTTAATGCTTGCTCTTCTAATCACCATTTCTTCTTGACAGCCCAACTAGAAATCTAAGGGCTCCTCAAAAGTCAAATCCTTTCTTTGAACAGCATCACAGTAGAACTTAGAATTAGCACTCATAACTTGTTGCAGACTTGTAAAGCCCAGGTCACTATGCCTTGTGTTTGTTATTTAAAGCTCTAGATCATAGAAGTCACTCAGAGCATGATAGTTTCCCTTCTTGAGATCTTTTTGGGTCATTGATGTGCACTTCGTGTGTCCCTACAGTGGACTAATGTATCGTTTTTCTGAAAGAATCTCTCATCTACATGCTATTTCCATGCCATTCCATTTATGCCACAGTTATCTGTCAGACTCTCATAAGGGAATTAAGGAAAGCTGACTATTCAGTTATGTAACTGTTATTATATTATTTAGAGTAATTTAGTGGCCGTTATTATATTAAGAGTAGTTATGTTTGTTAATTATGTGGGTTATGTTTCGAATAAATAGGGGAAGATAAGGGAGAGTTTACTATCTTGGAATTTGATTGGAAATGGGCCATTTTGACATTAGGGGAGGTGCAGACCCTCGAAGTTCTGCGATACTATTCTAAAATTCAAAGAGGTTTTTGCTATTTAGTTGTGTATCAGTTGGTTTCTATCACTATCATACTAAACCGCCATGCAATGGCCTACTCGAACAGTTTGGTACCCCATACTTCAAGAAAGTAACAGGTTATATGCCAACTACACCTACCAAATATAACCTCTATGGGCATCACAGTATCGTGTTAGTCAGAATCACCACCTAGATAAGATCATCCTCACACTGCCACAAGTGGAAATAAGGCCTTATCAGATTTTCTATTTAGCTTAATGTACACTAACAAGTTCTATTATCAAAAGCAACCACTTTTTAATTATAATTATAATAAAGTTTGCAGCATTATAATCAATCCAACTATACTTTTTAATGAAAGAACCTTTTGCCGTGCATTTTGTGTACAATAGAAGAATGAATTTCTGTTTCACAATGTTTCACAATAAACAAACAAGCTGTTTTACTAATATTGATACAAATATTTCTTGTTAACGGAATTTCCTGATGTCAATAAGGACTTAATAAAAATTCACAATATGCAACAAAATATTAGCAAAAGTGAAATAGTTGGGTACAAGCCTGTAAATACCCCGAAGAGATGGTGGTGCACCAGCGCATAACTGATAAAATATATGATATGACCTTTCCCCTTCATTGCATTGAACAACTCTAGACTGTCCAGATACCAAAAAAACATTAGTCTCTGCTGATGTAATTTGGACAAAACTTGAAAAAAAAATAGCTCAGAAGAATGACTAGTTACCTTTTCAAGCAAAACTGTTGATGTCAGGCCAGGAGCATTAGATGAATTCAGCACATAGATGCAAGCATTTAACATCATAATTAGTTGGAAACTTTTAGAGGAAGAAAAGGCACATTGGTTTCAAGTTTCAACCATTAAACAGCAGAAAACCTACATGTTTGAATATTAGCACCAGAAATTTTTCCAGTTTCACTGAAGTGAATTTCAATGAGCTTTCCCTGTCGCACAATCAACCAAATTATGAGAATTTCCATCATTGAAGAGTATATTTAATAACAGTTTTAACATAGATAGAGAGAACCAAAATATGAAACCCATAAATGGTCATTTCAAAAATTAATATGATCGGTCAGAAATCTTACAAAACGACTTGAGTTGTCATTTCTCAAAGTTTTTGCATTACCAAAGGCTTCTAGTATTGGATTAGTCTTCAATATCTCATGCTCTATTCCACTTCCACCCCCAAGAGCAGCCAAGTACTGCATTGCTATCTTTGCTGTCTCAGTCTTCCCAGCTCCACTCTCACCACTGAATATGTAGATGATAACTATTATTATATGCCCCAATTCAAGCACAACACAACTTAGGGGAAAACAAGAATAAGAACAACCAAAAACATTTCACAATAATGACAAAATCTGCATACAGTGCAAATAAGCATGTATATTCATCATAATGTAAACCAGGTAAGTAAGAATCAGGGCCTCATCAAGTTATGTTTGTCTCTATGCAATAAAGGTGGTAATGTTTCTCCATTCTATGAAAGTTAAAATAGAAAATAAAAATTGAAGAACTTAAGCAAGAAACACACCCGAATAACAGACCAAAAAGCATGGTTCTAATTTATTTAAAAGATATATAAATAAATATTGTCTCGTTAAGCCAACTCAGTTGATAGCTGTGTGGGGACATCCGACGGCAGGTATGTAGGTTCTAACCTGCAACATCCCACTTATTTAAGAGGCGAAATTCCATCCACTAGATTAATAGACAATATATATGAAACTTGGTCATTGCAAAGTCACCAAAGTACATGCATCTAGAAATTTGAAAGTCATAAGAAATAAGAAAGCAAAAGAAAATAAAAGTGTCATAAATATCAAATATTTATGAAGGATCGCTAATTGTACAAGGCTTTCAAGTATTCTTTGGGGTTAGAGAAGTATTCTTTTTTATATGGTGATTATAATACTATTAAATGGAATGAAAATAATTAACCGCTCAAGTGGTTACTGGTTACTCATTAACCACTATTTGTTCAGTTTATTCTACAAAAAACATGAAGTTAAAATAATGTTTTAATGAAAGCAGCTCAGAGAAATTAAATTGTGTACAATTTATCATGACTAGTTACTCATTAAAGCAGAATTCAACAAAAAAAAACTGACCTGATAATTATTGATTGATTAACTTCATCTGGAAAACAAAGCAATAGTTAGAGTAAGTTCTTGCTTAAAACAAATGCAAGAGATCTTAACTTTAAAGCTCTAAAACTCTATCAATATATGTTCCTATGGGGAAATAAAAGTTACCTCGTATCATTTCTCGGATAGCTGTGTCTGTAATTGCATATACATGTGGACTTTCAGTTGTCTTACGCTTGTAGGCTTCAATATAATTGTTACCATACAGAGGAACTTTCTTGAAAGGATTTATAGCGACCAAAACAGGCCCTGCTTTTGTCTGAATTACAAATAGTTACACAAATAAACATTAAGAGTTACGATATAAAATGTTGTGAAAAACTTTGAAGAGACATAAAAGCTTACATAAATCATATTTTGATTGTATCTATATTGTAGATCATATAAAACTGAAGGTTCGTTTAAATAACTAAGTTGCATGAGGTCATCCACTCCATCAAGAATATCAGGATTTGCTGGTACCAAACTGTCTTGTTTCACTTTTAAAACCTATAATAAATCCCAAAGAAAGTAAGACTGCAGTTAACAAAGATAAAAATGAAGAACACCACTCTTGAGAAATATCATAACTTATGTATCTTACCTTCCCATCAGGCAATGAAATAACTAATTCTATTCCAGAAGTTGTTATTATTTTTGCCAGCTCCCAATTCCCATTTGAAAGTTGAAACCAAGACTGAAGTTTCTGAAATAGTTAGCATCAAAAGTTAGGGAAAGATCTAACAATTTCTAAATTTAAGTAAATCAAATAATGATTGATAACTAAAACAAGCTCGTCAAATTAGTTTTTGGAATTGCTAACATAGTATTCCCTATTATGAATCTTTTAGAAAATATGAATCAAAGTAACAGTGAAATTATTTATAATTGCATGGCATTCCCGTGTAAAACATAAGATGGAAACAACGAAGGTATATATGATTTAGTTTGGCCATAGAATAGTGACAAACAACAAACATTAACAAATCTCTAATTGACATAAATAACACTTTATCAAAACAAGACCCTCTCAGCAATCAACATAAAGGGTACACGAACTGAGTCAATTAAAAAAAATATTAAAGAAAAATCATGAATAATCAATCTACTTCGATTTTCAAACCACCACACACGGATATGTCAAAAAGAATAATGGATTAAATTGATAGCAGAAGACAAATAAGACCATGGATGGCCCCAATCTTAATTGCCTCCAAACTTAATGTATCTCAAAGAAACTAAAATAAATCTTTCATTTCTCTGGAAAGTTGAAATATAACTTGGATGCATGTTTCCATCAGAATTTGAGAGTCACAAACATAAGTTGATGTCTTCAAGATGCATCTAGGGCTTCATCAAAGCCTACACCATTTGATTTACTCAAAGGTGTCTGTTAAATGCGAGGCCATGGGTCTTTGGCTCTCCATCCAGTCCCACTGTGACTTAGGATACGAAATGTAGATGGAACACTCAAGTGGTACTTGGGGCATATGACGCTCAAACACCTCTAGGAATAGGCGTATCACAGTGTCTGACACACATCGGTGGCCGACAATTGTATGACATGTGTCGGAAAAGTCAGACAAGTGTCTCCAAAAAATAGGTTTTTCTCTTTGATTCAACACTTTTTAAAATGAATCGCGACACTCGTATGACACACATAGAATACTTGTCGGACAATTTAGACAAGTGTTTTTTAAAAATTGTTGTTTCCTTTGCTTAAACACTTTTTTTTTTGACAATTCTCATACGCATCTAAAGTGTATATGAATGAAAGAGCTTCCGCTTAAGGGGAAGTGTTGTTGAGGTGGAGTGTTGAAAAAAAACAACTGTGAGTTGGAAGTGTTGAGAAACAAGTCTGGAGAAGTCCCACATTGATTATAAAAGTGAGGCTTGAGCATTTATAAGTGAGAGAACCCACACATCTATCACAAAATTTTGGATGAATATGTGGTCTGTCTCTCACAAAGGTGTGTGGCTCATATAAAGGTCAAATACCATATATGTAGCATAGTGTAGGTGCTTAATAGCCTGAGGCTATCCAAGACAACAAGAAAAAGATATCAAAGTTTGGGTGACTATTTGACATTGTAGATCCCTGATTGGTGTTTGCTCAAACATAAGATTAAGTTTACACCGCAGTTTACACAGCTTGCTCAAACATAAGATTAAGTTTACACCGCAGTTTACACAGCAGCAAGTAAATGTGGTTGCACAGTCTCACTTTGGTGGCCACATCTTTGTCTAGTCACTACATGTGCTTTTTTGCCTTGTTGTATTGCACAATTTGTTTTAAATGAAATGACATGAATTTGTTACTGGAAACAAAACTGTTTTAAAGCTACTGCTCCAAAAGCAGTGGAACTTTATGCAGTAAAAAAACCTGATATTTTCTTTGATTCTGGTTAAGCTCCAGATTTTTATCGCGGGATTTTAAGTTGTGTGATAGAAGTCTAGATCACCTCACGCCAATTTTCATTTCTTTTGGCCTACCTTTATCTATGATGTAGTTTCAAATTTCAAATATATTCCAGACCGGACACTCAACCAAAATTGGCAACACTGAATATTAACTTTGAAGTTTCAACCAATATGATCCTAAGGCCTTCTTATATATCGGATTAATTTCAATAAGATCTCTTGGTAAATAAACTAACTTCAAATTTCAATAAGATCTGAAGTTCTTCTATTACTGGTAGAGAACACGTAAGTCATGAGTATTGTGAAGCTCAAGGGTTTATTTTTTATAGATCATGTAAAAATTAATGACAATATAATTAAGCTACGATAAACACAAGATTTAAAAGCTTTAAACTTCCAGAATAAGATTAATTGAAATCTGAAGCTAGAAGTACCTTCTTTGAAACATAAGGTGTTGTATCACTCCACCTCGATTCCCTAGAGGACGCTGAAATTGATTGGAATGGAAGAGGAACAGATTCCAAGTCTTCATCTGCAACTTTTCCACTATATGCTAGGTCCTCATTGAAAAGACCCGTGTCACCCGTACGATCTTCACCTTCTTCAGAAAGAGCATTATTTTCAGGACTACATGATCCAACCAATCCACTACTCCTCAATTTAGAGTCACCCCGGCTTTCCATTCCATCACGGGTCAGATTACCATTAACCTTGAAACCAGGAGGCAATGATTTGATAGGCTGGAGAGTTCGAAGAGCCTTGGATCCCAAAGACATTTTTCCTTAAATAGCTCTGCCACAACACAACCAAAAATCATTACCAACAAAAGAAATACTTAAAAAACAACAAAAGGATTCCCTCTTCAACCAAAAGTTCCTATCAAACTTTTTAACTTGGTCCCATCGAATGACTTAATCAGTTAAACATAATGGAGGGGACCATATAGGTCCATAGCTCAAGATACAAACTCTACAATCTAGTGGTGTTCACCTCTCTTAAAAAGTCTCTATTCACAAATGCAACTCCAACCTCATCATCATTCCTAGTCTGTAAAAACTCAATAAGACAAAGCAACTCTCACTTCCACTGAACCTAATCTCATAGGGACCAATCTCAAACAACAAAACCTTCAAGTTAACCAAACATAAAGCCTCTCCGATCTGACATGAAACTAAACATAAACATAAACACCATTCAAAATTGAAATCATCAAAACACTTCAAACGAAATAGAAAATAATTCCACAAACAGATCCTCCGATTTCCCTAAACATCTATTACTGAAAAAAGAAAAGAAATCCAAAATGTGTTACTTCAATCATCCACAAACCGAAACCACCTAAAACCAGCTAAACAAACAAGAAACACAAAATCGAATTCAGTTCAGTTCATGTACCTTACTTAAACACCACAATTCTCATTCTCATTTCACATAATTTTCTACTAATAAACAAAAAAAATGAAGCTTAAAAAAAACCTAGATTCTCCGATTGAAAATGAACTCGATCGATGAAGTTCAGAGAATCCAAATCATGATCGGGAAGTCGTAAAGCAGATGATGAATCACAATCACTGATCAAACAGCAGATGAAGCGAAACAGAGCAGTGATGTGATGATGGCGATGTAGCGGAATGGAGAAGAAGTGAGTGAGAGCAATCAAAGAAAATGGTAAAGAAAGTTTCTGACAAAAGGGATATTTGGTTTCCGAGAAAGTTGAATTTGAGAGAAAAAAAAATTGAAAACTATTTGCCAACTCTCCACGCCGTGTAGAGAAGAACCAGCTTTTTGCTTTTCTTTAAACTGCTGTTTTCTTTTTAAATAGTAATAATTAATAATTAATTACATAATCATATTATAATAAACTGTTATAAATTTAATATAGCGGGAAAATAATAAGTATAAATAAAATTTTATTCACAAATAAAAAAAATTAAGCATGTGAGGTTAAAATTTTGAGTAGCTTAAGTTTTACAACTTATCGGAACATGCAGGTTGTCTTTGTCCTTTTAATAATTAGTGGATAGATGATGTTGATGTGTTAAAACAAAATAAAAGTAAATTATGATGTTGATATGAAATTTGTTTACTTATTTTAAATTGTATGTATGTGTTTATCTTTTTACTCTATTTTATAAATTAATGGATTTGTTATACCAAAAAAAAAACATAGTATTTAGTAGTATGTATGAACCAAGTAATATTAATTAATATGCAATTAAAAGTTGAAATATTAATTAATAATATTGAAAATTAAAATGATTATTTATTTTAAAATAATATTTTTTTCAAAAGCAAATCATTCATTATTTTTTAATTTGATTTTCATCACTAATATTGAGTTAGATCGAGAAATTCAATTCGAGAATCCGTTCTAGTATCAAATAGTTCTAAACCTCTTTCATTTGTAGTCGTAAAAGAATAAATTATAATTTTTTTTTATTAAACGGCAATCAACTCTAAACTAACTAACAATTGATTTATTATTTATTTAATGTGAGAGAATTATACTTTTTTTAAACGTAATAATAACTTAAAACACACTCTGAAATTTAAGGTTTTAAATTTAATATTATGAGTTTTAATTTGATTATGTTATAAAAATATATATTTCATATTTTATTTTATTTTAGATTGGTTCTTTTTCTAAAGTATTTTTCAATAAGTATTCAAAAATTATCTTCACAAATAATAATTATGTTGTAGTTTGATAAATAAATAAAATATTTAACATACACAAATTACAATTATGCTCTTATATGGAAAAGAGAATCTAAGAGGAAAAAAATTAATAGTATCACTTTTTCTATTTGAGTGAATGAAAATAATTTTATTAATTTATTATTTTATTGATAAACATTAGTATATTTAAAATTTATAATGAATAATTAAATAAAAAAAAGTTATTTAATAAGAGAAATTTTAAAAATAACAAAAACAAAGTATTTATTTATTTCTCTTTCCTATTAAATAATTTTTTTTATTTAATTATTTATTATAAATTCTGAACCGTTAAATTAGAAATGTGAGAAATGGTAGGGTATATAAAAAAGGAGAGGATCCAAATTCAATATAAATGTAAGTCAATAGTTGAATTAAAGGTAAAATTTAAGTTAATTTAATTTAGACATTTTAATGTCATTTGATTTTATCCAGTTATATATATTTGAATTTTTTTTTTTTAATTAAGTAATGGTCAAGTATGCTTTTAAGGTCAACAATATTTTAATGCAGTAAGCTTTTATAATATTACCAATGATGATTAGTAGGATTAATATATCGGATTAATTTTTCACGTAGGTCAAACTAATATTCAAATCATTAATGGTATGTTTGAATGAGTTTTATTTTATAAGTTATGTTTGGACATTAAATTTTGTTATATTAAATTTGTCTAATATATTTTTAAGTAGAAACTAATTAATTTTAGTATAGTTAATAATCAAATTTTTAAATACTTAATTGATTATTTGGTTAAATAAGTTTTTAATTTCGGTTCAAATTTATTTTTGGTCTTAGTAATATATTTTTTAATAGTGGTTTTTTTAAACTTTTTTTTAATTGAAAGCCTACTATGTTATATGACAAGAGGACATGTTAGGAGAGTCAATACTCAATAGTATCCTAAAATAATTCATGACCAAATCAATGGAATCAATTAAAAGGAAATTGATCAAAACATGTCATTTTGATCCAAAGTTATGGAGAGGAAATGACATATGGGTTTGTTGCTCTATTTTAATGATGTTAATTAACCATGTTGTAATAAAATATTTTAGAGCCAAGTTTTTCAATTTTAGTCTTCCATGAATTTCCATTTCATACAAAGAATGGGATGAAGAAAAGAAAAGGCAAAGCATTGTGTGTGAGAGAGGGAGCGAGTCAGGTTGCATCGATCAAAGTGACTATGAATTATTATTGTTCGTCAAAGTAATTAATATTCACTTCATCCACCATTTTTTATTGTGTAACTTTTTAGCCTAAGTCATTATTGATAGAATAATGGGCTAAATTTATAACATTTTATGAGTTATTATTATAAAATCAACATACTATTCTTATACCTATAAAAAAAAGAGCTATTAATAATGAATTTAAATTAAGTTGAATTTTGTTAAACAAGACATATTATATGATTTGAGAGCTTTGCTCATTTGGTTATGGATTGAATTATATTTTAATTTTATCAAGAAACCAAATTTTTTGTAGTGGTCTTCACTAAAACATACCATTCTTCTTAATACATAAAAAGAGTGTGGTGACCCATTTTAATTTCTTGATTTTTGTTTGTTTCAATTTTGTCTCAACTCAAATATTAGTTAAATTTTTCTAATTCTTACTTTATCTTATCTAATAAATCACAAATTTTTTAAATTTATCAAAGTATGAGAAAATGATTGAATTTTAAATTAGTTAGTCTTCAATTTGAGAAGAAATCAAAAGGAATCATATGATACAAGTGTTTATAATAAACATAGACAAACTTCGTTTTCTTTATTTGTCTCAGAATCCAATTTCCCTTAGAAGACTTCAAATGGTAGCAATGTAATTTTAGTTTTTTTAAGGATAATTTTAGGAGGCACGCTTCTAGATAAAGGAGATTTTTTTAGAATTTTGATAAGTGATTGGATGCATGTTTTACTCACTATTGTGAATCGTGGAGATATGGTGAAGAGATTGTATTGTGGGCATGAGTATAATAGACATTTCATTGTTTTATAGTTGAGTAGTAGTAGATCACTACCAACGGAAGTGTCGCCTTAGGGTTCCCTTCCAAATTCTCGTTGACTTGAAACCCTAGAATGTGTCTTTTTTCTTCTATTTTCCTTCTATTGTTAGCGACTTTGAGGAATTCCTTGATGGATGTTTCTTGTCTAGATCTCTCTTGCTAGTTGTAACGCCTCGATTTTGACTCTGAATCATTGAATTAATACATGTAACATGACATTTGCATCACCTGCATGACATAACATACATTTCATCTCGTATAATGCCTAAAATATTGGCCAAAATAAATTTGCAGATATACCTACAGACCAATCGAACTGATTCTCAAATATACGTGAAACTATCAGACGAAAATTTTTAAAATCGAGCTTGCAGACGTTAATTTTATTTATCTACAGCCGCATAGTTTAACCTATCATGCTCGTTTGTTTTTTCGACTCCTTTCTCGGTTGCATTTTGATCATTCTGAGCCTTTTAACCGGTCAATTTTTATTTCAAAATTTGATCAAGACATGTATGTTTCCGAGAAGTTTATTTCGCGTTGATCATTTTAGTGTATTTAGTTTATTTTTTCGAGCACTTTTGCGCCCGAATGTTATTTATCATTGATCCATTTATTTTTAATTTTTTAGCCAAAATAATCATTTGAATTAATTAGATTTAATTGATTAATTAGTTTGAATTTATTTTAAGTATTTTATTTTATTTTCAGTTTAATTACTAACTCTTTTTAACATTTAAAATAACAAAAAGAAGATGATAGAAAGTGTTTGCATTGGATCCTCCTTCTAACATTCCTTAACCACGTGACAACTAGTGACTTTATCCTCTCTCAACTTTTGAATGAGAAATGACTCCCTCCATCCATTAAGAGCATGACATGTCCCCCCTACACCCATGTGGATGACTTTCTTTGTCAGCTCTCAAATTCAAGGAAATAAAAAGAAATAAGTGGTTCTACAAACAAAGAGGAATTTCTCCCATCAACTAAGGTCGTGTGAGTTTGTTGTCTGGATGGGACCGTTTTATCCTTTCTGATTGGCTGGCAGCG